GAAGAGAAACCCCTTCAGGTTTTCCCTTTACAGTTCACATTTAAATTAGGAAAACGTAAATTGACAACAAAAACCCTACCAAACAGTAGATTCAGAATTAACATTACTTTAGAAAACGAACAAACTCTATTCTGGCTTAAACATCAATTGACAAACATACCCTTTAAAGTTCCCATCCAAGTAGGAATTCATTTTGACAACAAAATTAACGACGCTTTTCAACATTCCATACTTCAAACGTTACATGAAGTATTACTTGGACAAAACAATAATGTAACTTTTACGAAAACCCTTTTGGACTTAACACCCTATAATAGAGAAAAGGCTCTTGAATTAATATCGAACTATCATGATACTAATCATAATGGTATCGAAGAGACCTATTCCCATTTCAGAACAAAATTTTATTATCCAAATTTAAAGAAATTAATCACGTTTTACATCAATAAATGCGATGTATGTTTAAAATCAAAATACGAACGAAAGCCCTATAAACCACCATACAAAGGACCCATGGTATCTTCAAAACCTTTTGAAATAATAATGATGGATTTGTTTACTATTGAGAACAATACATTTTTGACATTTTTTGACCATTTCAGTAAATATGCGCAAGCATATCACATAACAGATAAAAACGGAATTACCATAGTTAACAAATTAAGACATTTCATTAACCATCATAATCTTCCAGGCAAAATTTTAGTTGACATGAGGACAGAATTTTACAACCCCCATCTCAAATATTTCTGTAAACTTTATCACACCGACTTGCACTTCGCAAGCACAGGCAACCCGACTACTATCAGTCCACTTGAAAGAATTCACGGCACATTAAAAGAAAAATTAACANATGTGCAACACTCCTGTGGTTGTCTTTCATTTATTCTCCTTTCTACTCAACCACATCTCTTTCCTCCTCCTAAACGTATCCCTACTTCTTTCCCTCTAGCTACTAAATAAATTATTTTCAAAATCCTCATTCTTTCCATTATAAATTCAACAATATATGTATTAATGCTTACACTCACTAACATCGTCAAGAGCCAATAACATCATGTGACCAGTAACAGATTTAATAGTTACACGTTTACGATCGATGACGTTTCGTCACTTACCTACTCCTCTGTGCTAGAATCGGTTATCTTACCCTACTGTTACGCAATCGTTTATGTTAGGGGGACAGGGTTTATATAGTAGTGTTAATTTGAGGCAGTTAAAACTTAGTCAAGTGCCTGCTTTTTCATTGTTAACGACAGTTGAGTCGTCTATGTATTCACGTTGTATGATAAATAAAATTGTGTTTTTTTTTTATTCTATTAGTACAGGTATGTTTACTGTTTATCCTTATAGTTATTATCAAATCACTAGTTTTACTTTAAAAGGCATTGCTATCAGCGGCGTCCACCGTATGTCCAACGGTGACAAAATCTGGCCTCTTGTGTCTGTCTGTCTAGACAAATCCGCTCCAAATTCCAGAACAATTTTCGAGCTTGGTAAGCTCTGTGGGCTCAATGTCCAAGCTGAGCCTAAAAGAGCAACAAAAGACGTCCCACAGTGCCGCCGTTGCATGAAATTTTTTCATACGCCCAACTATTGCCATGCAGCTTGGGTCTGCTCCTTCTGCGGCCGTAACCATGTTACCACCGAATGTAAGTCAAAGTACCAAAAGAAGCCAGTTTAGTCGCCGTCTTACAGAACAACCAATGAGCAACACACCCCTCCCAAATCACCTTCGTATTGTCACGTGGAATGCTCGTAGCATTAAAAACAAATTGATCGAACTCGAACACTTCCTCGATGATCGGTCAATCAGTGTTGTTTGCATCACCGAAACTCACCTTGCTCACAATCACAAACTTTTCGTCCCAAAATTTCACGTCCTACAGAAGGGACCGCGAAAGTTCCAGAGGCGGCGGTGTAGCCATTCTCGTCCCACCCCACCATTCTCACGGCCCTTAACGTCGAAGACATTGCCCTTATAAATTCCACAAAGTCATTCTACATTGCTTGGCTAGGATTAACAAATTTCTGCTTCTGTTGCTAAACTGGTACCAGAAATGGAAAATTTCCATCAGCGAGACCAAGTCGGAAGCAATTTTCTTCTTTCATAGCCGTCGAAAACTACCCTCCATCTTAGTAAACAACCATTGTCAACTGGAAGATTTTTGAAGAAGAAATACAAAAAGTAAAATTCAATGAAACACAACGTAGGGGAAGCAGCGGAAAATCTGGAATACGAGACGAAAAAGGCCATACGAAAGGCAACAGTAAAAATTAAACAAACTGCAACCAACTACGCTGTAACACAAATGGAGCGGCAATTAATACAAAGCAAAAACAGCGCAAAAAAGTGGCGCCAATACGGCAGTATAGAAGCCAAACCAATTATGGACGGGTTAACAAAGCAAGTTCGAGCCATGCTCAAAGAAAAAAAGAAGTCGCAATGGGAAGAAACCATGGAAAAATGCGAAAAATCAATAAACGGAGAAGTATGGAGGGTCCTGCGAAATATAAAACAAAAAAAGGAACCGTCGACCCCGATAAAATGGGCAGACAACAGATGGCTCTTTGATGACTCCAACAAAGCCGAAATTATAGCAGAAGTACTGGAAAGACAATTTACAAACAATCAACCAATAACCCCAATTAATTCGATCGTAGAGAGCCAGCCACAGGAGAATATCAAATCATAACAGAAGTTACAAACCTTGTGACACAAAAGCAATCCAAAAAAGGCAGCCGATAAATACTAAAAGAGCGCGAATATCGCAACGCTGCCAAGCCGAGCGGGCTTCGATAAAATCCCGAGACCGTTGCCGTCGTGCCGCCGCTCGCCGAGCGCCCCTTGAGACCTACGCCGACCACAGACGTCCCACAGGAGCCTCCTCAACCCTAAATCCACCGCGCAGAACGAGTTGAGGGGCCTCCCTTGTGATTCCTACTGCCTGGACTCCGCCCTGACATTTAATGTAGTAATTGTTGTTTAGCTATATGACTTATAAGTAAAGTTAGGTATAAGCTTCGATTACTTGAAGACGTGTACTCCATGTATCTACAAACCTCCACTTAAATAAAGACTAAAGAATAGCTTTCTGTATTTGATTCCTTGTTTATCATAGATTGTCACCGGTCCGCCCCACCAACAGTCCCAACCGCGGGGTCACCTCAACCATGTCCACACTATGATCAAATCGAATAAAGAACGAATGACTGTAAGAAATAAAAAAGCTCCAAAAAATACGAAAACAAAGAACAAAAAAGAACCAATAAGAAAATAAATAAAAGAGATGAACAGCAGAGAAAATGATGACACAGAAGATTGGTTTTTAATTGACTTAATTTTGAAATTTTAGTCTTTTATATTGCTAAGTATAAGTAACTCTTGCAAAGGAAACGCATACGCGTCTACTGTGATATTCATAAAAAAAAATTAGATCTAATATAATTTACAAATAAATGTCGATAAGTTGCTCGGTCTGACCTCAATAATTTTCCTACAGAATGAAGAAAGTAGTAATAAATTAGATCTGTTGTAATTACCGAATTAAAGTACAGAAGTTGCTCCGTACGTCAATAATTTTTCCTATAAAAAAGACTCATACCGAGTTTTAGATCGTCAAAGTGTTATAATATTTATACGTAAAATTAATATTATATAAATCGATGGTTAACGAATCAACTAACCTACCTCTGGTACTTCTTTCAAAGTGTTTCGCACAAAAATACGACGTTATGTATAACCTACCGAGTATATTAGGATTCATAGAAAATTTTAAGGGAGTCAAAGAACGACGTGACCAGGGTGATTCAAAAGACGAATTTGCCCGAGTTTTTAAAACCAGATGTTAGGCAAAGATTGATATTAAACGAACCACCCGAAGACAGTGACTACGATTCAGGTGAAACTATTGCTAATGATTGAGTAAGTATAAATAGTAATCGTATTCATGTTATATAATTAATTCTGATTTATTTTGTTAATGATCGTCAAACGTCGAACAAGACATATTTATTTAGTTTGGAGTAACGATAGGTGAAATAGCCAAAAAGGTTTTATGTGAATTTTGGGGTTTATCGTTCGAAAAAACTAGGAAAATTGCCGAGACATTCGAATCATGAACTTCCTTTAATGTCTATAAAATGAAAACAGATGCAACCCTCTACAAGTGCTGAACAGAGTTATAAGAAAGCGTAAACCTTTGAAAGCAGGGTTTGCAAGATATGTGATGTACGTTTAGTAAAAGCCTTGGATTCATCACCTCAGAACCTTATAACAAACANCAACCAACTGTTTGGTTTCGTGCACGTAACGTCCAAAAACTTCGAGATTTATTTTAAACGTGTCGTGGAGGTGGATCTGATTACGTATAACACGCACGTATTTGTCGAGAACATCGGTGAAAAAGTCGTTATACGATAGAAGGTATTTTCCGATTCCCTCTTTAAGAGGTGAACAACAATTTTGTTTATGCTGTAGGGTGCGCAGGTGACCGACATATATTTTTTACGTTTCACACCAGCGGTCGGAAGAGGTGGCAGATGCAGCATATTTCGGTTTTTTATTCGGTAGCGAGGAATTAGGATGGTACTGTACTCGTTTACGACACGAAGCTTTTTGATGTCGTTTTAAATTATCAGATCGCGTAAAGGACGTATCGCAGTCGGGACAACGAATCATATCGGTTAGATGTAACAGAGGTGTCTCGAGAAAGACTGAGGAAGACCGTGTGCGAAGTAGATTTAACAATGTAAAAAATCTGAAAGAGTGGGAGAAAATTAAGTAGGTGAGGGTTGTGAGGGTGGTGGGGTGGTTTGAAGATATTTAAGAGGCATGTATAGAGGAAAAGAATAAGTGAAATGGCTGAATTAGGACAGTGTGATGCGGCAGATGCGTCAGTGATTAGCTTGGACGAATCGGAGCTGTCAGCGATGCTGGAAGAGTTCTTCCACAACGATGAGTTGGTGACGAAGACAGTCGGTGGAGAAAAATNGCAGTTTACAGAAAATTCATGCGCGTAGCTTCGTTGAGTGAACAACCATACTCGCGAACTTTCGTGACAAAGATTTCTGACGCATGCGTATACGGAGTACGTGAGCACAACAGTAGCTCATGGGGATTAGCATGATAGAGTAATCGACGCATGCGTAGTACGCGAAAACGCAGGTGTTAACTGTGCAGATGACGTCACGTCTGCAAACCACATTCCGATGATGGTTGAGAGGCGGAAAACTTGTATAGAAGGAGGGTGCGGGGTAAGAGGGGAGTAGTTGGTAAGCGGAGAGTGTTGTCTCATTCTGTTTTAGAACGTTGCGTGAAGTGGACGATAATATTTTAAAAAGAATGGTTGGTAAAGATGTAAGGAAGCCGGCAGTGCCGAAGTCCCGTTTCGGGAAGTTTAGGGCGGGTGCTGTAAGTAGAATGAAATATTTAGTAAAATTATTTTGTATTAATTGTGTAATATTTTAAAACACTTATATCTCGTTTTGAAGTTTGAAATAGTTGGAGTCGTCACCACTATGGCGACGTTATCGGTAGCCTCAAGCATAACGAGTATGGCAGCGGGTAGGAAGAAGCTGGGGATCCGGCGGAATAGTGTGGCGAAGACGTCTCCGACGTGGAGCGGTTCGGGGACGAGGCCCACCATAAGCACGGTGACCCCAGCAGAAACGCTGCCTCCACCGACGACGACGGCTCCAACATTGGCACAAGGGGACCAGTTGATGGGAAAAGGTACATGTGCCACAGATGTGACGATGCCTCCGTGGTGTATATCACCTGTATCACCTCTGCCCGACACCCCCATGACGCTTTCGCAGGAGATGGAACGTTTAGAAGGCGTCATGGTAAGTGCTCATCATGTACGAGAAAAGATGGAGGCACTGACGTCAGCTTGGGAGAGGAAGCGCGATGCTCGCGGTAACGTGAGCACAGAGCTTGCCCAAGTGCGAAAGTG